AGATTGCTCGTGGAAGCTCTTGATGAAATTGCCATTGTTTTTGAGCAAATCATCTTCAAATCTACTTTGTCATTGATCTTCCGATAATGATTCCAAACAAAAAATCAATAATCTTTCAAATTGGTAGTCGACTATTTTTCGGAATATTCGACTACTGTAGTCGGTTTGGAAGCGGTAGCCAACCCTAATAAGCAATCAATAGTTGTAGATGGTCACTTATCCGTTTCTGATTGCCATTGGCATATCTGCTGGATGTGTGAGGGGGGAGAGCAAACTAAAATATGAAATTTCCTGTAGGAAATGATCTCGTCACGACTCACGTTCATTAAGTTTGGCGCCAATTGGATTGATCAGCAATCGATTCCTTCATTATCCCGTCGAGTAAAAATGGAGTGTGGTCGTTCTGTTTTGTATTTTTATTATTCGTTCTCGACTGAACTTGCAATTCTTCTTTCTCTTAAGTCTAATTATCTTTTCAATTATTTCAATTTTTATAGATATGGTTACACATTACGATGACACATATGCTGTTCCCAGCGTCCCAGGAGATAATCGGCCATTGATCATGAATGGGTAAATTACTTAATTCATTAACTCCCACTTTATTATGAACCATTCAAGTATCGAGAGGACTGTAATTGTGATGGAAGATGAGGAATATAAGAAAACTTGTTGTTTCAGTACAAAGGTTCGTCATACGCCTCGACAACTTTAGGATTAACAATTCGCTATTTTTCAGTTCTGTTCCAGCTTGTTCTTAATTTTAACGGGTATCGGCCTTGCTGCTAAGTATATTGTTTTGGGATCTGACAGGGAATTGACAGCCAGTGCTACCATTCTCAACTTTGATGGCTTTTTCGAGGGAGCTAATGTCAAGGTAACATCTGGTTCATATGTAGCAGTCACTGAGAGTTATTAATTGCAGAATGGTTTCTTGATGTTTCACGTGTTTTGTGAAGCCTGCTTATTTATAACTGTAATAAGTAAAAAACGACAGTTTCTCGTGCCATTCATTTTAAATCAAGTAAGAGCATTGTAATTCATTTCTCCATTAATCTCTTTCACTTGAGGTTTTCCTAATAACCTTCGAATTAATCGTTGTCATTACGTGTATAGTTTTTGCTGCATCGAACAGCATTTCGAGAATATCTGACGGCTGCGAAGCTGTCCTTCAGGAATTCATACCTAATAGGTTCATCATCCAAATCAGCAACTATGGTAAGATATAGTTCTATCACCGACTTATACCCATTACTTAGGTGATATGATGATTGTTGTCGCAGCAGGCTTACTGATCTCTCTCATGATTTTGATTAATACAATCATGCTATCGTTACTAAACAGGTAAGATCATCTTGTTCTTCAGTCATCCTTACAACTCTTTTCAGAATTTATCGTTATTACCGCTTTGTGTCTTTCTATCGTATGTGATTCTTATATTTTGCATGAAAAAGAGCTACTCTGTCTTTATTAAGTTCTTCTAATACTGCGAGCAGTTACTACTTGCTGCATGATCATGATTTTGCTTATAATATTAAACATCGCTTCAAGCTATACGGTTTTTATCTAATTTGTCATTTCTTATACAGTTGTATTGTATGTGAATAAACCTTCTGTGATTACGCTCAAGCGTTTGTTGTAATTAGCATATACGTGGGAATTACGTGATGTGTACCAAGGTCGATATCAATTTCATTTCTATGACTTGTTGGATGCGAACCGGTTGACTTTTTTTGCCGTATGTGTGTGTGTGAGTTTCATATATTCTTTAATCATTAACTGAGATTTAACTAAGCGCAGATTCTTTTTTCAGACTTTGTGTAAGGTTGAACGCTTGTCATTCCCATTCTGGATGAAAAGATTAAGAGTGCTTGCTATAGGAACCAGCGTTTCCTTGTTTCCACCTCAATGTTTATTGGTGTAACCTTAAAACATGGTATGGGAATATACTGAATCGCTGACATCATCCCCCAATCCAATTTACTTTTTCAGTTAATGTTCCTGAGTATCATTTCATTACGATATAGCCTAGCATTATATGGATGTGGCAGGCAATTAAAGCTTCTGTAATTCAGCTACAGTTTCTTTTGAAACCGACAAAGTGTACTTTTTATATCCAGCTTTAATTGATTTCTCGTTCGGACTCTTTCATCCTGTCTCCAGCATAACTGAAGCCAACCTGAGGATTCGCTTTCGTAAATGAAAAGCGTATCCATCATTTCGGATTATAAGAAGGCTTTGATTGCA